AACCCCTTCTTTCCCATTGCTTATTGCTACTGAAAATGCTTACTCCTGTAGCATCCAAAAGAAATATAGTTCTCAGAGTCAGCATAAACAAAATCAAGGTAGTGGAGCTGATCAAGCAGGTCACTTCAAAAGCACAAGCCCAAGTAAAATGCTCGTGTAAGCGTACACACTGCAGGCTCCTCTAATACATTGACAGTGGGGTCTGTAATGTGATTTATTTCACCCATCTCAGCCATCAGTTTTCAGCAGGGGACAGAAGGCTGAAATTCTGCAATCTATACTAAGCCAGTCACAATTATCTAATAATCCTTTTTTTCTTTGCACTCCGTGACTCTGGGATATGGTGGTTTAATCAAGGAAGACAACACTCCCCGCAGAGCTTGCAAGAGTAAATTATTATCATGTGTCCCTCATAGTTTAGAAACAGGTAGAGCAAGCACAACAGTGACTAAGCAGGTCAACTCACAACAAAAGGCATAATAGCGCAGTCATCACCGTAAAATTTCATTGCTCATGCAATCGGTGCACCACAAAAGATCAGTATTTTTGCTGTCAGCCAAAACTAAATGTTATTTCATGTTCAGTCCATGGTTCAGTTTCTTTAGCTGCCAGATGGCCTTTCTGTGGTCCACTAGAGTTCCACTCCATCACAGTATGAAAACAGAAAGTTCTTGTGTTTTCAGACACTGCTATCACTGCCTTGTAAACTTCTAGCTTAGTAAAGTGTTTGACCCTCCCCCGCTTTATACTGCAAATGCCACAAGAGCTTGTGCAAAGCCTTTGCCTCCTAAGAAAAGCAGACATGTCAGTCAGGGCACTTACAGAAGGAGCAGATTCATGGCACTTCTGCCTGCAGTTATGGGAAGTTTGAGAACAGGTGAAAGATCATGTAGCAGGTCTAATTTCAGCTTTACCTTGCTGACATGAAGGGGTAAGAACAAAGCATGTTTAGAAAGGTTCCTCCTCTGCAATATTCTCTCCCAGTCAGGGTTCTGTCAAATTTAGGCTGTACTCAGATCATTTAGATAAATATCCCAGAGAGGGACGTAGCCTTTATGAATTTGTTTAAACACATTTTCAACTCACTCATTCTTTTAGACTTGGCAGTATTTTGCAACCATCCTTTTTCAGTATTTAAACGAGCATTATGTGCAAAGTGTTTTTATTTCTTTTAAACATATTCACCAATTGGCCACAGTCAGTATTTGAGGCAGTAGGAATGCTGTCATGAAAGGATCTCAGCTTCACTCCCAGCCTGTAAGGCTTGGCAAACTAAAACAGATCGTATCTATTGATCTTAAACTAACACATTAGGACTCCAAGATTATCCAGTCCATCTGGAATAAAAGGAGATAGTCAACAAGACTGTACATTTGAATCTGGCTCCAGGGCCAGAAGGGGACGTTCCAGTAAATATTAAGTTCAGACCGCAGTTCCACCTTCAGCTTAATAGATAGCTGTGTCCTCAAGTCCAAAGTGAATCTATCCACCATTCAAGTGGAAGTGCCAATAAAACCACTGACTTAGGTCCCATATCTTCCTTTAGACCCTATTTAATATTAAACGTCATTATTACATTCAATATTGATTATCACATGCAATTATTACATTCAATATTGATTATCACATGCAATATTAATTATTTTATTCCATATTCAACATTCAACTTCATTAACACTGTAGAAGTAGCAGCAGTCACAGCAGGTTTTCTTCCACAGCTGACAACGTATCTAAGCTGTTGTGCTTGCGGAACATAGTCCCTCAGCAGCATTAAACTCACTGCAGGGTAGTGCAGCTGCTGCAGTGGTGGCACTGCCAAGAGGGACCAGACAGGAGAGGTAGTCCGAGGACTACCTGGGCTAGGCTGCTGCCTAAGGCTGCTCCTTAGGCAGCAGCCTCCTACATCAAGTCGGTCACTAGCACAATGATTAATTCCACATTTCCTCACAGTTCAGGTCACCACAAGCCCAAAGCAGGGTTTACAGTCAAGCACTCTGCAGTTAGTTTATGTATTCAGACCCAGACCAGCCCTGATGGGCACATGTACATACCAAGAGCGTTTTTACACAGTGCTGGCTACTTCTCATCTTCCTTAAAAGAAATCGTACCAAGAGAAAAAGCCGTCTCTCTCTCACAGTCTCAGAGTCAACAACTCTAACCAGCAAACCTAAAGTTAATTGAGCTTTTGTAACACCACCTCAGGGTAATACGAGTCACTCATTTATTAACCCCCTCCAACAGGCAATTTTTCACACTTCCTTAATTCCCAGCCCACCCCAGCACTCCTCCTGCATTCTCCCTGGTCTTAGAAGTGTCCACAGGGCAGTGGAGACACAGTGTTGGTATATGTTTATTCAATTTATTATTAGTGCATCCCAAAATTTGCTGTTACCTGACACATCACAAGCTCTTAGTGCAGAATTGACATATCTGATTCCTTTTGACATATCAAAGCAGATCTTTTGCCTTGGATTCCACCAGCAATAGTGCATCCACAGCAATTCATCCTGTACTTACTGCTGGGCAAGACAAAAGCACTAGATCAGCACCAGACCTGCCGTGTATCTGTGGAGCAGAGTGCAGAAGCACTCAGGTGTATTTTGGATTACTATCTTCGGTGCTGGAACCATTTTAGCCTTATTAGCAAAATTCTCTGGCTGAGCCAATTAGCCCTAATTACAGAGGCAGTTGTATTTGACTAGGGGGAGTTGTATCCTCACACAGCAGTATTACTTTGCTGTTTATCTCCAGTATCTCCGCATAAACTTCACTGTACCTCTTAATGAGAAAATACATGTTAGAAAAGTGACCAGTGTTTTTTCCAGGGTACAGATAAGAGCAGAGATGGGTGAGTATGAGGCTGCCTACAATCCTTTTTCTTAGCCAAGTGGCTTAGAAGATAAGAACAATGTATAAAAGCTTGAAAATCCTCTAAATATATCTTCACTTAGTTTCCTCCAAAGCAGCAGTAGGGAAAAAATATCTAATCTAAGAAAGAAAAGTAATGCAATTTTTTTTTTACAAATTTTCTGATGATGTTTCAATATGTTTAAAGCCCTGACTAGATACCTGGGGTTGCACAGAGCTGGTGAAAGCACATAGACACCACCTGAACGCACCACCAGCAGCAGCTAACGATTCCTTGTATCATCACTAAGGAACATGAGAGATTTTTGTTCTAACAGTGAGTGGGAAATCACAGCAGAGAAGTTCTGTGAGCCCTGGGGAACAGGGAGGGGGCATCGAACTCAGAAATACCAACGTGAAGGTTCCCAGTCCTGTGTCCTGCCATCTCTTACCCCAGGCATTAAAAGCCAGCATCCCCAATGAGTGTTTTGCCAGCAGAGCCCTGAGAGGAGGAAGCTGTCACAAACGAACCTAACAGCTAGGCTGCCAGTGGGAAGCGTGAGAGCTGCCTTTCTGGAGATGAAAAGCTGCTGTTACAGGAAAAGGCGCAAGTCCCCACTGCATTTGTGAAGCCTTCTCCCTGCTATGTGCAGTGTCTCTCCCCTGTGCACCCCTTCCCAGGAGGAAAAGAGCTGTGGGGACTGAACTGAGCGGCAGCAGCACTTTCCCTGCCCAGGAGGTCAGCCTGGTGTGCATAGTTCAGTGTGGAGTCAACGTCCTGTGAGGTGCCACTGGTCGTCTGGTGAGCACACCGAGACCCAGAGCCTTGACCCAGGGCATGTGCCACAAAGGGAGAGCCATGCTGAAGGACCAAGGGGGAAAGAGAGGCAGAAGGCACTCACCATCAAGAAAGCAAAGCAAAAGCAAGCACCACCCAAGAAAAAGCATGCAGGGGCAGCATCTGGAGCTTGTTTGAGGAACAAGCCGAAGGGGATGCATAGAGTTGGAATGCTCTGCCAGGGCTGGGGAAAGCAAGCAAGCCTTCGTTCCCCCCACCTCCGAATCCTGCAAAGCATCAACATCAGTCCACTTCCAGGAGCTGGACTCCGCATGTGTGGGATCATGAGTGAGCGCTGGTCATAAGCAGCTGGCAGGACATGATGTGGGTTAGCCCGGTACAAAGCACCTACGCTCTGCAGGGACTGCCGCCACTTCCCATAGCTGCCAGGACCAGCCTTAACCCCAGGGAAACTCGGCCTCCCGCCGGGCTCAGCAGGAGGAGGGAGATTACTTCACAGCCGCCTCCAGCGTGGGCAGACACGCTGCCATGGGTGACCATGTAATTAGGCATTACTCCACATGCCAGGGCGGAAACTGCCCCGCCAGGAGCAGCGGTGCGGGGCGGCCGAGCCCCTCCGCTCGAGGTGCAGCGGGCCGGGATTATTCCTCCCGGCATCGCTGGGCACGGCCGTGTGGGGAGGGCGCCGGAGGGTCGGCGGGCAGCCCCGGCGCGCAGCGCCGCTTCCCCAGTCCTCCCCGCGCCTGACGGGGCTTCAGCCCCGCGGGGGCACCCCCGGCCCCACAGCGTGGGGACAGCCCTACCCGGGGCCCTGCCCGCGCTGCCGCCGGGAGGGTGAGGGGGCAGCGGGCGGGGTGCGGGGCTGTAGGCGGGCGGCCCCCCTCGGGAAGTTGTGCCGCTCGGGGCCGGCGTGAGGCAGGATCGCGGGGGGAGGAAGCCCCGGTTTGCGGCGCCGCTGCCGTGCCCGCACAGCGCCGGTGCGCGGGGGCAGGAGCGAGAGCGAGGAGCGGAGGCACCGCCGACACAGCGGCTCCGCCGGGCCGCCCCTCCTCAGCCGGGCAGCGCGACCACCGGCCCCCAGACACCCGCCCGCCTTCCCGCCGTGCGGCTGCCCGGCTCCGCGCCGCCGTTCCGCGCTGCAGCCCCAGACCGCCCGGCGGGGTCTGTCTGGGGGAACGTGGGAGCGGCGGGGCGGGCGGCAGCCGCGGGGGTCGTCGCCATGACGAGTGCGCGTGCCGCCGCCTCCCGCCGCTGAGCGGGGCGGCGCGCGGCCGCTGTCCCTTCAGCACCGCACCCCCACAGCCACCGGTACCCGCACAGGTACCGCCACCGGCAGCCCACCCGTACCGGCACCCCACCGGCAGCGGCAGCGAGGCGAGCCCTGGCGACCCCCGCGGGCGGCGGCGATGGCGGGCAGGGACCGGGGGCAGCAGGGCGCGCCGGCGGGGGGCCGCGGCCGCTGAGAGAGCAGGTAGGGCGGGAGCGGCGGGGCGCGGCGGGGAGGGGCGGCTCCCCCGCCGAGGGGCCAGAGAGGGGCGGAGGCGGCGGCGCCCCCGGGGCAGATGGGGCCAGGGCCGGGGCTCCGGCCGCTGGGGCGCGGCTGGGCGAGCAACGCGGGGGGAGGGGGGGGGGGGTGAGCCCGGCCCCGAGTGGCGGCAGCCTAGGGGCGGGGGTGTTGGTGTGGTGGGGCGGGAGGGGGGAAAGGTCCGGGTGGAGCCGGTCGCACAAAGGCCGTGGGTAATGGGGGGGTCGTAGGAGCGACAGCCGCAGCCCAGGTGAAAGGTACGGGAAGGGACTGGAGCCTGCAGCGGGAACAAAGGAGCCGCCCTCAGTGTCTTCAGTGGGAGGTGGGAGAAAAGAAAAACGAGGGGAAGGGAGGAAAGAGGGGAAAGGGAGAAAAATGGGGAAAGAGGGAAAGAAAGAGAGAGAAAAGGAAGACAGGAAGAAAGGAAGTAAAAGAAAAAAATGAAAAAAGTAAAAGAGAAAGAAATAAAAGAGAAAAGAGAGAAAAAGAGAGAGAGAAAGAAAGGAAAGAGAAAGAAAAAGAAAGAAACAGAAAAGAAATAGAAAGAAAAAGAAAGAGAAAGAAAGAGAAAGAAAGAAAAAGAGAAAGAGAAGCAAGCATCAATATGTGAACATCCTGTAGATTTGCTCATCTTGCCAATGTACTGTGTAATTTCATTCTAGGTTTTCGTTCCCTGTACACCTCTGGAAGGAGCTCACTATGACAGGGCAGAGTCTGAAGGGTTTATCTGAAGCGAATTTTGAAGACAATGAGATCAGCATCAACGTTGGAGGCTTTAAGAAAAAGATGAGATCCAACACATTATTAAGGTTCCCCGAGACCAGGCTGGGCAAACTGCTGAGCTGCCACTCGAAGGAGTCAATCCTGGAGCTCTGTGATGACTATGATGACACCAAGAACGAATTTTATTTTGACAGGAACCCTGAGCTTTTTCCTTACGTGCTACATTTTTATAACACCGGCAAGCTCCATGTGATGGGTGAACTCTGTGTGTTTTCTTTCAGCCAGGAGATTGAATACTGGGGAATCAATGAATTCTTTATAGACTCCTGCTGCAGTTACAGCTACCATGGGAGGAAAATGGAGCCAGACCAAGAGAAATGGGAGGAACAAAGTGACCAGGAAAGCACCACATCTTCTTTTGATGAGATTTTGGCATTCTACAATGATGCCTCTAAATTTGATAAACAGCCATTTGGAAACATCAGAAGGCAGCTCTGGCTTGCTTTGGATAATCCTGGGTACTCAGTCTTAAGCCGTATCTTCAGTGTCCTTTCCATAGTGGTGGTGCTGGGCTCCATCGTGACCATGTGCCTGAACAGCCTCCCAGACTTTCAGATAGTTGACAGCAACGGGAACCCTGAGGAAGACCCTCGCTTTGAAATCGTGGAACATTTTGGTATTGCATGGTTCACTTTCGAACTGGTGGCGAGATTTGCAGTAGCTCCTGACTTTTTAAAGTTTTTCAAGCATGCCCTGAATTTGATTGACCTAATGTCTATCCTTCCATTTTATATCACTTTAATTGTCAACTTGGTGGTGGAAAGTAGTCCAACTTTAGCAAATTTAGGCAGGGTTGCACAAGTCCTGAGACTCATGAGGATCTTTCGCATCTTAAAGCTTGCTAGACACTCCACAGGTCTCAGGTCCCTTGGAGCCACCCTGAAGTATAGCTACAGAGAGGTGGGGCTTCTTCTACTTTACCTCTCTGTCGGCATCTCCATTTTCTCAGTAGTGGCTTACACCATTGAGAAAGAAGAGAATGAGGGGTTAGCCACCATCCCTGCTTGTTGGTGGTGGGCTACCGTAAGCATGACCACAGTTGGCTATGGGGATGTTGTGCCAGGGACCACTGCTGGCAAGTTGACAGCATCTGCATGCATCCTAGCTGGTATCCTAGTGGTAGTGCTTCCTATTACACTGATCTTCAATAAATTCTCCCACTTTTATAGGCGTCAGAAGCAGTTAGAGAGTGCCATGAGAAGCTGTGATTTTGGTGATGGCATGAAAGACGTTCCATCAGTCAACTTGAGGGACTACTATGCTTATAAAGTTAAATCCCTTATGGCCAGTCTTACCAATATGAGCAGGAGTACCCCCAGTGAGCTGAGCCTGAATGATTCACTGCATTAGTGTACAAGTTTGACAGCAGTTTGCATGAGAGCTATCAAGAGCTATGTTTGTAAATGTTTTCCTATTTGTCTTTTTTTTTCCTAGAGGATAGTGTTGCTGACACTGCACTAACTTTGCACTTGAGAAACTAAAGACATTTCTATTGCAAGTTGACATTTTGCACATTTTCATCCTGTTGCATCAGTACTAAATGCTGACTTTTCCATACAAATGTTACCACTTCCATGACATTAGTGCTGGTGGTATAGTGATGATCTGTTGGTTTGTGCATTTCCTCATCTGAGCACAGAAATGAGCGTACTGAAGTGGAATAAAGATTCTCAGTTGTGACTCGAGTAATGAAAACATCACCCATCACCTGTACTGGTATCTGTACTAGTGCAGGACTTCCATGCATTTTATAGCAGTTTGAAACAATCACCTGTGAATCACTGACACAGGAACACTCTTCCACATCTTTCTGACTGGTAATTCTGATCGTCACGTGTCTGAAAAGACCTCTGAGCTTCACCTTTCAGTGGAAGTTTGCTTACCCTTGAGCATGTGTGTTAAAAACTGGGTGTTCTTGTTCTGAAATGTTTTGTATGGTAATATTTTTCAGACGCTCCTAAGCAAAGACCTACCTCTGCTTCCAAGATTAGGTCAGTAATGAAGCCCACCCTTCATTTTCAGATACCTATGTGTTGAAAGACTACATTTCCACAGGTGACTCTAGGTATGGAGGCCAATGACGACATCTCAGGTTCCCATTTCCAGAAGTGATCTGCACACAGCTTGGTTCCAGTGAAGCTGAAGATATGCTGTATTTCAGTCTGTCAAAATGGTTCTGAGATTAGACACACAAAACCGTGGGTTTTCAACAATTAGAAGCTCCAATTAAAATCTTGGATTTGTTTAATGAGGCGAAATATTCCCACATGAACAGTAAGGCAGCATTTTAGGAACTGACATTCATATACTGCAAAAAGACTAATTATAAAGATGCCATATGTGATGTTGAGCTATAAAATCTAATTTTATCAGGAAAGCTTGAAAGCAGGTGTTGATAGCAGACAACTCCATTAAGCTCTCTGCCAAGGAAACTCTAAGGAAAAAAAACCCAACCCTGTAAGTCACATTTTCCCTCAGAAAGGAATTCACAACTTACAGCTAAGGAAGAGTACAAGGACTTAAGAAAGGAACAGATAAAGAGAAAGAGCTCAATACTGCACTCACTGTGGGCAGATCCTCCTACCTGCTTCTGTGATGTAGACAATTTAAGTCCTTTCAAGGGCTGGCCTGTACTTTTTTCTTTATATAAAAAAAAAGACATGAGAGAGCAGATGATCTGGGCTTCCAAGAGTAATCATGAATCTGCATAAACTTCTTTTCTGAGTGCTCAGTCTCTCCCCTTATGCAATTATACAGAGATTAAACACTTGTGGCCGACAGGCAGAAACCACTGCTTTCCTCTCTTTATACTTCTAGGCATCTGTGATATAAAACAAACTACTGTCACTCTGGGGGAAGAACAGGATTTCTTTTCAGATCCTGCTGCTTTTTCACTCCATTTATTACATATAACATTCCAATTAATTATTTTTAATCTTTTTTTTTCCAGTTTTCCATGTGAAGACTGGAAAGCTTTAGAAAATAAATTCACACTGGTTGAAGAGAAATTAAAATACTAAAGGTAAAATTGTCATGTTTGGAAGCCTGTGTTTGTATACTGCAACAAGGAGTGGCCCAACTGGCAAAATAAAGCAAGAATCCCCTGAATAGGGGGAATCCCTTATTTAGGCTTGCTGACCCTGAAAATCAAAGAGTCATCTGCACGGCCCTGAAGGTAGACCTAGATAATCCAAACTAATTGTCCAAACTCGAAAGATTTTGCTAGTGTTTTCATTTCTGGAGGGCAAGTTCAAGTTCTCTGCTGAGTCACAGGCACAAATACAATAGTTTTGTCCCTGATTCATATTGCATGTGTGTAAACCATCATACACCTACAAACACCCATCCAAAACACAGCACAGCACTAGGTTGCCTGGTGGATTGACACACCATGAAAGAAACTAGGGAAGGAAGAGACGGGCTTCTGCAGCACATACACTCCCATTGGATTACATGCTGTGAGGGTGGCAAAGTCTTGCACTGATGTCAAGGGCACTGCAAGTTCTCTCTAGGTCTGTTGGCTGAGGGCCTTGAAGAATCCAGCTCCAAGCAGTGGTTTTATCTCAGTTTCACAAGCAGTCGATTCCCAGAGTTGAAAGCCAATGACTTTCAGGGCAGTTACTCAAAGAGACCTGTAAACCTATTCCCTCAGCTGTTGCTAGTTCGGCATTGCAAAGGTTGGAACCAAACTTTGCAACACATCATTTCAATAACCTATAGCTTATCTTATGTTCTAGATTTATTATTATTCATAGGGCCAATGCTCTGTCATTTCTGCAAATATTGAATGGAATGTGTCCAAATTGTGTTTTACTAAAGAAAATGAAATACCCCAAGGAATTACGACTTTTATTGTACTGGTTGAAAGGAATTTATATTATTGCTTTTTTATATAAGTGCTTTGGATCAAAGACACTAAATAAATAAAGTACTGAAATTTAATATGTTCCTATTATCATGACAATGACTTTACACAGTACACAGGAATTCCCTTCATAAACTTAACTAACTCCAAGTTAAAAGTAGTCAGGTTTTTGCTCTCCCATTCTCCGGAAGAGCATTCCAGATCTGTGCTGCTTTCCAAGGCTTGTGCAACTTTCAGCATAATTTTATTAATGGCTGCTTTATATCAGTTGGGTTTTTTCCCATGCCACCACTGTTCTTTAGCTTAAATATTTCATTTTCTTCTTAGTGATTGCATGCATGCTCTATTTATAGACAGCAATCACATGTCCTTAATGCTTATTTTCACAGAGTTATACCTGCCAAGCTTCCTTTTAGTTTTCTTTTTGGAAGTTGTATTCCCCTGGCCATTCTAGGAGATGTAGCTTTTTCTTTCTGTACCACTTCTGCTTAGATTTAATCTGTTTGAATATTATATCATATTGTATTGCTTTGTATAGCAGTTTTAATATTTGCTTATGACTAAGAGAACTGTTCACTGATGAGGATAATGATTGTTCAAGTTAAATGATGTCTTGGCTCCCTCAAAATATCTTGGTAAGGAAGAATGAAGCACACCTTTCCTGCCATTTTATGAAGTAACCTCTATTCTAGGGCTCAATCCAGTAAGTGCTGAGAATCTTCGTCTCTCATTAAATGAAGTTACAGAAAAATGTTTTCAGTTTGAAGGAAAAGTTCAATCTCTCCAAAGCCTCAGCGAGGAGATGAGGTGGTATGCTGTTTGAGCAATTGTTGCTTTCACCAGACTTCTTCAATCACTCTTTGTAAGAGTGGGGCATTTTCACTTCTATAAAACAGCGGGTCAGCAATGAAGGATGAGAGGATTAATTGTCCACTTTCTCCAGCGATTGAAACTTGGAAACTGTTGTGGTCAGAAATCCACTTGTTACGGACGTGCAGTTTAATGAAGAACATTGCGCTTGGCATGTGCTCCTCCTGGCTTGTGACAGTCACCTTCCTGGCACTGGTGGAAATGTTGCTCCTATTCTCTTTCAGATGAGACCTTTGAACTGCTTAAATGAGGATTATGGGAATATTTCAAATGAGGCAACTTACTTACTTTATTGCCAGGAATAAACTGTTAGAGAATCTTGATTTCTCATACAAATTTAGGCTATTATGAGAGTTGGAGATGTCCTCAAGAAAGCAATATGTTATATTATTTTCCTGAGATATAAAGACTATATATAGATTGTGATTAAGCTTTTTATGTATGTTCAGATTTTGCATTATTGCCCGGTTTATTATTCACTTACTTTCATCAGTTGCTAATTCTCTCTTTCTCTGCAGACTACTTCATCCATTTCGAAAGCAGACTGTTTTTTTCCTCACATATTATCTATAGCATGAGCTGCTTAACATTGCAAAATTAAAAACAAAGAACTTCGCATTTAATTTTCCAACTTTAATACCTCCAGTATTTGTACCTTTTTGTATGGAACTCTATGAGACTGCAGGGAATGACTGTATTTGGTGCTCTTTGTACTGAGTTTCTTGTCCCAGTAGCATGTGACACACTCAAGAACTCAGCTTTGTGCCACAAAATGGAAATTAAATGCATAAAAAAGTATATTTCATCAAAGATTAAGAACTGATTTAAGTTTCAGGGTATTATATTTATGATCAAAGAGAAGCCTGGATCTCATTGTGAAGAAAGGTTTCTTTTAATCATATACATTCTCCTAACTGGTGGTTGTGATGGGGAACCCACATTTTTCAGTTGAGCAAATAGTGCAAGCTTCTTGTTCTCTACCTCACAGATTAGGGACTAAGCAACATAAAAACGGCACTTGTAGCAGCTAAATCAACTTGACATGACTTTTCATCTCCTCTCAAACAACCCCCATCCTTAGAGGCCCCAGCTGTGCACATACAAGAAGCAGAAAGACCTTAGAGTAACTGCCCTTGCTGTGCTAGTTACTCATTTCTTCTCACAATACTCCAGACTTTTGAATCTACCTTTGATGGTGCTTTCAAACAACATTCAAGCCACAGTCACCACTCCTATCCCTTGGTGAGGGGCTGTGCCAGAACTGTTCTTTTCTCATCATGTTATTTTTTTTTGTTTCTTTCCCAGTTTATGTGCCTGACTTCCCACTAAGTTGCACCACAAATTAATTTGATCTCCTGTAACTTCAAGTTTCCCACTATTTAGGGAGGGCTCAAAGAATATTCAGTTTCTGAAGCATCTTTTACTGATTCTGCCTTTTCCTGATGCTTCTCGCCTGAGAATAATATGCTGGATTAACAATGGAAAAAAAGGCAATACATTAATACCTTATTCAAAGCAACAGTTCTCTGCTTAGTTGATTCAGAGACAGCTGTAATGTCTGCACCTTCAGAGCAATAGTTGCAGTTGTTAAGAAACATCACCCTGATTCACCTCTCATTTATAAAATGATGGGTTGTCAACTGGAGGAGGCAACCTCCAAACAGTCTAGAAACTGTTTCCCAAGCTAGCATGACACTGCTGACAAAGGTCTGGCTCTGGCATTTATTTCTCCTGCGAGTATAAGGGATTGAGAATCATCTCACAGGTGCTGAAACTCAAACTGACCTCCCACCAGACCATGCAGAAAACTGTTTGCCTGACATCACCTCACCCTTTACACACAACCCTAAATCATGCAAGTCTTCACTTGGATAAATGCATGCACCTGGCTACAGGAGGCAGTGGCACAAATCCAACACTTCAGCTTCACAGAAGAAACATCAGC